ATGAAGACTCACAACGACAAGGGCCTTCTTCCCGTCCTCGCCCGCCTCCTCTCCTTCTCGGACGACCAAGTAGCCGCCATCCGCAAGGCCCGCGCCGGCATGTTTGGCCTCTGGTAGTACACCATCTACGCTGCTCCCTCTGTCAACGCCATCGCCATTGATCTGCACACCGTTCGCATGTGAATCAGAGGTGATGGTGTTCCCACAGGGGACATGCGCACGTGTGTATCATTCCATTCTGAAACCTCCGCATTTTCCGCCTTTTTCTCGCGCCTCCTCAACCGCCGCACCTCCCCCCCCCCCCCCCCCCCCCTCCCGAGTCGAAGCACTCAACTCTCTCCTCAACATGTCACCGCCTACTGTAGTGCTCGTCACGTGCATGCTTCTTAGCTTCACCACGTGGTGCGCAACAGCGGAAGTAACCTCTTCATGCGTTGCGAACACCCCAGCGGTTCTGACGGCTGTCGTGTCCGAAGTCAAGAAAGTGGCGGCTGTAGCGGCGTTCGACGCCAACAGCGACGGCCTGGTCGACGTGTTTGCCATGGACAAGGAGCATCACTCCCTCCAAGCCTTTGCCAACAATGGCTTGCTCGCCCTCCTCGAACCAGTCGTGGTCGACGGCGCGTACTCGCGCTCGTACGCAACCGAGCTGCTGCCGGCAGACGTTGACGGAGACGGGCGGACTGACTTGGTTGTCCTGGCCAGAATCAATCGCCCCGCAAAGGAAGACTTTGACTCGGCCTTCTGGTACCGCAACCTGGCAGAGGGATCTGGTGGGCCCATTGCCTTCTCGGAGCGCAATGTCATCGCGCACAGCTTTTTGGGTGGGGCAGCGCTGGCCGTCGGTGATCTCGACGGCGACAGCCATGTTGACGCTGTGGTTGCCATCAGCAGTACTGGCGAGATCTGGCTTTACCCCAATTCATTTGGCAACGGCACCTTTGGGCTCGGCCGCGTTGTCATCTGGAAGGAAAATTTGAAGGGCATTGCTGACATTGAGCTTGTCGACATCGGCAGCGATGGCATGCTCGACGTGGTAGCGGCAGTCCAATTGGACAACTCGTACGAGCTTAACTGGCACCGCAACGATGGAGCCGGTGTCTTTAACCCACTGGTTACGCGTTCCTCGGTGGAAGCCAAGACCTTTGTGCAAGGCGAGGTCAACAACGACGGGTATCCAGACTTGGTGATCGGGACAGGCACCGAGTTGTATGTTCTCACCGGAAACTCGAACGGTTTCAACCCCATGTCTGGCGCACGCAACTTTGCCTACGCGGCCGACGGTGTGTTTGTCGGTGACTTTGATGGTGATGGATGGGCCGATGTAGGTGCGTTTGGCACGACGAAGTACTCTGTGTGGCCGAACAATGGCGCCGGCGACTTTGCCACAAGCTCGGAGCACACCACGCCTGTGTATGCTGCTGCCGTCGCCGACATGGACAACGATGGAAGCCAAGATCTCGTTCTAGGATACAAGCATCCCGAGTCTGTCAAGGTCTTGGTGCAGTATAGCGCGGCTGAGATGTCGGTGCCATCGACAACGTACGACTTTGTGGCGCACGGCTATGGAGACGTCGACGGTGACGGGGATGTTGACGCGGTGGCCGCAACTTCCCAAGCACTGTATTGGGTGCCAGCGGAGCGGTCCGATGCAACGGCGCATGGCGTGCCAATCGCTCTGCCCACCTGGCAGTTTGGCGATAGCGCGCAAGACCTGGCGGTCGTCGATCTCGACGGCGACTCGGATCCAGACCTTGTGGTCTCCCGAGACGGACAGCCTCCTGTTTGGCTCGAGAACCTTGGCGGCTTGGGAAACTTCGGTGCTGGCACTGTCCTTGCAGGCGCGCTGCGCAGTGTGGGTGACGTTGTCGTTGCCGATGTCGATGGCAACGGGCTGGTCGACATTGTTGTTCGCGAGCTCGGCTCTGGCTCTGCCCTTCAGTGGTTTTCGCAAACGAGCAGCGGCACGTTTGCAGGTGCGGCGATCCTTGCCGCCGCGTCACCGCGCGCGTCTATTCTCACCTTTACCGTTGCCGATCTCGATGGTGCTGGTTTGGTCGATGTGGTGTTTTTGGAGGATGATGGATTGACCGTCAATGTAACGTATGTCTCGGCTGATGGAGGCGGAGGCTTCAGTGCGCCCACTGTGCTCAAGACGAGCTTCGGCTCGCCGTGTCGCTCCCTTCAGGTTGGCGATGTCAACGCCGACGGGCTTGCCGATGTGGTTGTCGGTTGTGGGGTTCATATTCACCTGCTTTACGGCGAGGGTAGTGGCGTGTTTGATCCAGGCTCTCCGATAGTTCTTGATAGCAGCGTTGACGACATCTTGCTGCGTGGGCGGCCAGATGGACATGGTATGGACCTTGTTGTATATGACGTCTTTGGCCTTGTGAGAACGGGAGTGCTCCGTCGCGAGCGCACGTGGGGGATGAACCAACTCCCGCTTTTTGCGTCGTTGTACGCGTTTGAGTCCCCAGTGGTGGTCGACATGGACGGCGATGGCGTCCTTGATGTTGCTGCACTTACCACCACTGTGACGATGGTGTGGGCGAACGGTCTCTCATCCCCGCGCTCTGCCAGCTTTATTGACAGCATCGTTGGCAGTGACGGTTCTGCCGACGGGCTTGCCGTCTGCGACGTTTCTGGCAACGGCTTTGTCGATGTGGTCACCCGCAACGCTGAAGGCAAAGTGCTTATTTTTGCTGGAAGCAGCTCTGGTGTGGCGAGCTCTGCAGACACCAACCCGTCTCTTGTGGGGCAAAGCAAGGGCCCAGTTCTCTGTGGTGACATTGATGGCGACGGCTCGGCAGACGTGATCTCTGGTGGTGCTGTGTTCTACAATACCGACGGCACCGGCCCCAAGGCGGCAAACATGGTGAGCGATGAGATCGTGTACACTGATGCTGCCCTGGGCGACGTCGACGAGGACGGAAGACTTGATGCTGTGTTTGCTGACGCCGACGGATTGTGGTGGGCGCCAGCACTCGTCGAAGATAGGAGCGAGTGGTCCATTCAGACGACTGCCATTGGGTGCGCGTCGATATCGGTGTCGGATGTCGTGCTTGGCGAGATCGACGGTGACGGCCACGTTGACGCCGTGGCTGTGTGTGGCACCGACGTGACGTGGTTTTCAAATGTCGATGGAACCGGCACGTTTTCGTCGCGCCCGACGCTTGGTGCCGAAATGACGGGCAGCGGTGGGCTTGTCGACATCGGCGACTTTGACGCCAATGGCGCAATGGACGTGGTCGCCGTCGACACCGACAGCGGCACTGTTTCGTGGATGCGCAACTTGGGAGGCGGTGTTTTTGACGCGCCGGTCATCATTTCGTTGAACGGCCAAGGGGCAACCGGTTTGGCGGTGGGCGACATAGACAGCGATGGCGCCTTGTCGATCGTTGTGGTCGGTGGTCGTGGCGTCAGTGTTCCCCGCCGCGCGGTGGCATTTGTGCTAGTTGGCGATGGCGCTGGTCACTTTGTCGAGCACATGATTCCTACCGACAATGCCGCGCTTACCTCTGTGGTGCTATCCGACATGAATCGCGACGGGCGGCTGGACATGGTGGTCGGAGTCGACGACTGGAAGTCCTTTCAGGTTTACACCCGCGAGGCGCACGGGCCATTCTCGAGGCACGTACCGCGCCAGCTGGTAGTGGACCCAAGCGGTGATACTGAATGCGGTGTCAGCGCTGGTCGAGTCGGCTTTGACTGCGTGTGGCGGCGCGTGATGCAAACCTCGCAGTGTGCCCGCGACGAGGTTGTCCTGCCCGCGGGGATTACGGATGTCGACTTGCATCACACGCGTCACTTGAACGCGGCGTGTCAATTCGTGGCGCCGGAATGGCGGTAACGAGGTTTGACTGCCATGCTGTTAGTGGCGAAATTGGCGGCGTACTGATGGCGGTTGACAACAACGGCGAGCTGGAGCTGAGCTCGATGACAATTGCCAACCTGGGCGTGGCGCGCAAGGCTAACCGTGGCACGCCTGGCCTCCGAGTTCAGAGCAGCGACGATAGCGCCCCGAGAGGGGCACTTGTGCTTGACCGAGTTCGAGTTGTAGGTGGACGTGCCGACGACTCGGTCTCGCCGTTTCTGGTGGGTCTCGGCATCGGCGGCGCCGTGGCGGTCGATGTTGCCGGAACGCTTGACGTTCGCAACTCGATCTTGACCGATTGCTCGGCGCAAAGCTACGGTGGTGCTATTTCGGGTCGTGGCAGCGGCGTGGTCATCACCATTGTCGACTCGGTCATCGAGCAGTCGACCGCTGGCATTCGCGGCGGAGGGTTGTTTGTGGCGACCGGAGCGCAGTTAGCCGTCACGCGGAGCAACGTGACCGCCAACGTCGCCGGCACCGGAGCTGGCGGTGGGCTCGCTGTCGAGTTTGGCGCGGATGCATACCTCCTTAATGCTCGACTGGCGGGCAACGTCGCGGCAGCGGGCATCGGTGGCGGCGGTGTTGTTCGGCCTGGGTCAGCACTGACGCTGGAGCGCAGCTCAGTGTCAGGCAACCTGGCCTTGGCTGGCGGCGGGTTGGCGGTGGCGGCAATCGCGACCGAGGCTGCGATGGTGGTGAACGCGGTGACCGAGCTTCCACGAGGCACTGTGCTCGATGCTCCGGCGGCCAACACGCTGGATATCCGCGACACGGCGTTTTCCAGCAACCATGCGGCGACGTACGGTGGCGGGCTGCTTGTGTGCGGCGCGCAGGTTGCTGTGGACGGGCCGACGGTGACAATGAGCAACAATGTGGCCGGGCGAGGCGGCGCGCTGGAGTCGTCCGCCGACGTGATGAGTTGCGCGCCTGAGAGCGGAAATAACGCTTGGCTGGTGGTCACCGGTGGCAGCGCGCAATTTGTCGACCACGGCCCCCGGGCTCACTGGAGTGGGTGCGTGAGCCAGAGGCGTCTGCGCCACTCGGATCGCAGCTGGATGGCACGTTTCGAGTTCTGGACCTTCTCTCCCGTGCAGCAGTCTCGTACGCAAACACCGAGTTTCAAGTTGCGGTGACGTCGGGCGCGAGCTCGCTTGTGGTTGACGGCCCGCAAACGATGCGTGGTGAGAGCGGTGAGGTGGCACTGCCCGGGGCAATCCTGTATGCAGATGCGGAGAGCGTCGATGAGGCGGCACTGCCGCGTGTAGAGTTGGTGGTGACAAGCGCTAATGCGGAGCTGGGCTTCCTGGCGGCGCCGATTCAGCTGACTGCGTGCGGGCCGCAGGCCGGCGGCATCGAGCTTGTACTTGATTCTGGGGCGCGAGTTGTCGGGTGTGTTGACTGCGGGGCTGGGGTCTCGGGCGAGACATCGCTGGCAGGGTGCGTAACGGCAGCGACGTGCCTGGCCAACTCTGTGGAGAATGGCGGCGTGAACGGAACGCAGCGGTGCGTGTGTGAGGGCGGGTTCTACGCCGTCGGCGCGGATCCGAATCAGTATGCCGTAGAGTGTGCTGCGTGCCCGGTCGGAGCAATATGTCGCAAGGGGCGCGATCCGCCTCTGGCCGCAGAGGGCTTCTACGGCGAGAGCAACACGTCGTTTGTGCGGTGCCGGCGGCCGGGTGCGTGTCTGGGTGGGCACGGTTCGGCGTGTGCACCAGGGTACTCGGGCTACATGTGCAACGACTGTAAGGACGGATGGTACTCAAACACGGCGCGCGAGTGCGCCAAATGCCCCGCAGCTGCGGTGGGCGCGCTTGTTGGCGGCGGACTAATCCTTGTGGTTGTGGCCGGAAGTGCGGCGGTGTTTGTGGCGATTGCCGTGGCGCGGTCGCACGACTTTGCGGCCGATACTGGCAAGGCAGTGTCTGGGGCGCTGCTGCGGCGACGACTGTTTCCGGCATCGATCTCGATGGTGGTGGTTGCGATCCAAGTGATCGGGCTGGTGAGCGAGGCCGAGTTTGGGTGGGGTGAGTCGACACAGCGGCTCCTCCTCACGCTCAACATCTTCAACATCGACCTGAACCTCTTTGCGTCTGAATGCACGCTCGCGTCGTTTCACGCAAAGTATGCATTTTCTGTGGCAGCGCCAGTGGTGTTGCTCGCTGCGTCGATGTGTGCGCTGGTCATTGCGCGCAAAACAATGATGAAGGCGCGGCTGGAAAGGGTTCGCACAAGGGCGCTCTTTGATGCGGTGCTCTTTACGCTCGCGCCAGTGCTGTACATTCCGATGGCGCGGGCGGCGCTAGTCATCTTTGACTGCGTCTCGCTGCCGAACGGACAGTTTGTGCTCGACTCGGACCCGAGCGTGCGGTGCCTAGACGCGTCGTGGTGGACCGTGGCGCCGCTCGGGGCGCTTGCGGTAGTGGCTTACGTCATCGGCCTGCCGGCATACTCGCTCTCGTGCATTGCGAGCCACCGCGAGGCGCTGCTGGAGCCTGCAGTCTTTGCGCGGTTCGGCTCGCTCTACCTCCGCTACCGGCTGCCGTACTACTGGGGAGGGGTGGCTGAGCTCGGCAAGCGGCTGGCGCTCGTGGTGGTGGCCGTTTTCGCAAGCGACCATGTGTTTGTGCTCATTGTTCTCCTCTTTGGCATTCTCATCGGCTCGTCGGGCTTTGTCATCCGCAAGCAACCGTACTACTTTCCGCTGTACAACAAGCTCGACGCGCGGCTCACCGCCGTCCTCCTCTTCCTGGTCCTCGTTGGGACCGGAAGCTACGCCGAGCGCGGGGCCGGTGCCGTATCGGACGCAGCGTTTCTTGTCCTGGTCATTGCCGCGCTCGTCGCACTCGTCGTAATCGGCGGGCACGCCATCATCTCGGACGTCGTCTCGATCCTCCGTTCCCGCCGCAGGCTCGGGGCGGACGAGACCGGTACTGCGCGGCAGCGCGCGCTTGCAGCACACATCCAGCGTGAGGCCGTCGACCTCGAGCCGCAGCTCGCCCGCGAGCTCGTCGCCATCGCCGAGCGGCTGGAGCAACAAGATTGGGAGGAGGGAGGAGCCGTCGATGTCGAGATGGCGTCGCTTGTGCTCGAATGAACTCATCCTACGACTTTGCCCTTGCGAAAGCAGTGGTGAGCGCGAACGCGGCAAGAGTGGCAGAGCGCTGCGGCCGGCAGGTCCAACGCGGCGAACAGCGGCGGGGGCACTCGACTCGGCGAGGCATGTTGCGGGTGTTTATGACACGGGTGGAGGCACTTGCCTTCTGCACGGTGCGGCAGATGCACGGCCGCCCGCTGGGCCGAGGTGGCAGGCGGGGAGCAGGCAGGGCGGGCAGGAGCGGGCCGAGCGGGTGGCCGGCGAGCGGCAGCCGGCTCCGCAGCCACAACCAGAGCAGAGCAGCCGGGCGTGTCGGGCACGGAAGGACGATCGGCGGCGACCTGACGGCGCTGAGTGCGGTCGAGGCCGCCATGGAGAAGGCACCGCCGGGAATGGAGGGCGTGGCGGCGAGGAGCATGCCCGGAGGAAGTGGGACGCAGGCGCAGGCGCAGGCGATGGCACAGGCGAGGGTCGATGCGTCGGCGCGCCCGCACAGGTTCCAAGCGGCGCAAGCGCAGATGGGTGCAAGGGAAGCCGCAGTCAGACGATCGGGTATGGCAGTGGTACTGGCGCATCTTCGGCAGAACCCGCCGCATGCACCGCCGGGTGCGCTGGATCGGCTGCACCACCTGTTCATGATGACCTCGGACGTCGTCCACGACCGGGTCCTTGTGCTGCAGCGGTCGATGCGGCGGCTAGATGCCAAGCTCCACCGCGGCGGGCTCTCGCTGCTTCAGGTGGCATCGGTCATCGGAATTGGTTGCGTGCTTGGGTACGGGATGTGGGGCGGCCAGGTGAAGGAGGGCCTCTCGCGCGAAGGCGCCGATGTTGTGGGGCAGGTTGTCTCATCAAAGGAGCTGCAGGCCAAGCTCGAAAAAAACGCAACGGCGCTTGTCGCGTTCCTCACTCACGATCCCGCCACCCATGTGCAGCTGCAAGAGCTGGCGATGACACTCCTGGCGTCCGATGCGGTGCAGAACGCGGTGGCGAGCCTCGTCCTCCATCTCATCTCGCAGCCGTGGGCTGTAGCGTCGACCAAGCAGCTAGCGCTCAACGTTGTCGAGCAACTCCGCGACGATCCGACGGCGCTCGATGCCGCTACCGCCTTTTTCTCCTCTGTCTTTCGCCGGCAGGACCTGCAACAGGCCGCTGGCGAGGGCATCCGCGCCTCAATCACACATGCCGCCGCGCCGCTCGCCCTCGATTTACACAACGACCACGGCCAAGTCCGCTGGATGTGCACTGCCGGCGTGCTTGCACCGTTTGTCTGTGCCCCGCCGTGGTGAGAGGAGCAGGAGTTTGTGGTTGGGGGGGGGGGGCAGGTGGGGGGGGGGGGGGGGGGGGGTAAAAAATTTCCCGCCACTTGTGCACCGGGCACCGGGCACTGAGTTTGGCGTTGGCGCGAATGCAAGCGGCAGCAGCAGCAGCCACCCGCCACAACGGCGGGCAGAGGGGGGCACAGGCCACAGTCGCAGCAGAGAGTCGACCACTTCTCGACGTCCTTGACGTCTTCAACCAAGCCACACACTCGCATACACATATACATACACTCGCACAGCCATGTACGGTTGCCCAGGCTGTCCAACGCCCCGCGCCTTGCCGCCCAACCTGCCCCACCTCCCCCCCCCCCCCTTGATGACACAGGTATCGGACGACGACACCGCAGCGGACCCGGCGACGGACAGGTGGGGGCTTTGGAGGAGGATCATCGTCGCTGGGACCTGCGGACGTGTCGATGAGTGCATCGGTGGGCGGCGGGCGGAGGAGTATGGGCGCGGCGAGTCCCGTGCGGCGCGGAGGAGACGAGGCCGGCGAGGGCGTTGCAATGGCAGCGATGGGTGGAATGGAGGAGCCGCTGGCGGAGCAGGACCCATCGGTGGTGGACGGGTTTCGGGTGGTGTACGATCGTGAGGTCCCGTTTGAGCTGCGGGCCAACGAGGAGGAGGAGGGCCAGCTGGATGCAGTGAGGGCCAAGATCCTCATCCAAGGCGAGTCGCACGCGCCCGAGGCTGTCCGGGTGGAGCTTGGATGCGAGTCGGACCTGTTTTTTCACTACACGCATCAGCTGGATGAGCTCTCGTTTGCCGAGCTGCAGCGTGAGCAGAAGCTCATGGTCGAGTTTAACGAGTACGCACACGTCCTCATCCGCATGTTCAACTCGGCCATCAAAGAGCCGCAGCAGTACCTTGCGGTCTTTGTCCTGCAGGAGGACAACACTGGTCGGGTCGACTTTATGCAGAATGCCATGTACAAGTTCCTCGAGCTGCTCTCCATCCAGTTTGCGCCGTCGCCGGGCAACGCTGTTCGCCAGCACATCCACTTTCGGTACAACACCATGAAGGCCCGTCTGGCGGCCATGCAGCAGCGCCTCAACGAGGTCTACGCCACCGTCAAGGTCAAGAACCCGTCGCTCCTGCTGCAGCTGCAGCAGATGCACGGGCCGGCCAAGTGATCCCGCGCCCCCTAGCAGCAATGAAAGTGACCACTACGTGTGCGCAAGACGATAGCCTACACTTTAGGAGGCTCGAGCTGCAAGCCGTGCCACCGCCCGCTGGCGAGCTGCCTCGATCATAGCAGCCTTGGCGGCGGCGGCCTCAGCAGCTGCCGCTGCCTTGGCCGCTTCGGCGGCGGCGGCGGCGGCGGCGGCGGCGGCGGCTTCAGCCGCTGCCTCGCGGTTCCGTGAGGCCTCAGCGGCCGCCACGGCTGCCGCGACCGACGGTGCCATGCGCTGGGCTCGGGCCCGGGAAGGGGGATCGCCAGGTGCGACGTCACGCTCGCGCGACCGCGACCGCGATCGGGCGCCGGATACGGGCGCCGGCGGCGGAGCCCGGACGGAGAGAGCAAACTCGGCCGGCGACGCCGCGTTGTGAGACGCAATCTCGGTGTCGGCCAACGCCAGAGCCGCAACGGCGGCGTCGCGTTCGGCAAGCTTGTCCTTGTACGCCTGGGTGACGTAGACCGGCTTATCGGCAAACTCCTCGGCGCCGTTCTCTTGCTCACGCAGCAGCTTTCGCTCGCGCGCCAGCTCGATCTCCAGCTCGCGCTCCTTGGCCTTGGCCACTAGTTTGGCAATGTACTTGGACTGCTCCTTGGGCGCCTGCGCAAGGGAAGCTGCTGCACTCGCCTCGGGCTCGGGCCTCGTCGACGTGTAGCTAAAGACTGAGGCATCCTCGGCCAGCGCCGCCGCCCGCTCGCGCGCGACCTTGCGCTCCTCGACCGCCTTGAGCGCCGCCGCCCGCGCTGCCGCCCGCTCCTGAGCCGAAGGTCCGCTATCGTCGTCTACCGCCGCGCCAGCCTCGCTTGCAAGCGCGGATTGGTGTGTGAGGGCCAGGGGAGGGGTAGCCAGCGCCGGAGGGACGGCGAACAGTCCGCCGCG